CGCGTTTAAACTATTTGTGAAACTGCACGTTACTGTTTTGTAACAATAGTACAATTAATTTAACTGTTACCTTCGACCGAAATTATGGCTTATTGATTATTTTTATTTTCTAAAAATTTATTCCATCCGTACTTTACGCGATATTCTTCATTTTAACCTTCCACATATTAGGTAGATATTACGACGACTAAATATTTTAAACCTTGAATAAACATGATAAGAACTCGAAATTATATTCTGTAACTAGCGATAAATTGCCGTCTTTTAGAAAATTGCTCGATATGCGAAATTCCCTTTAAAACGGCGCTTATTATAAAAGAAACAGTACCTTACATCTCCTAGTGATGATGTTATAGACGGGCATTTTTCTGTGCCTTGTTTTCCTAGTCATTCGATACGAATTAGATGCAACTTTGGTAAACGCAGCACCGGCTCAGAGATGCAACAGCGAAATCATATTCCTTGACACATTTAGTAGACAAAAAACACTCGTTATTTTCGAACGCGAAAAAAAACCACTCGAAATCGACTCGAAAGATAATAAATAAATTAAAGTTAGCGTCGAAATAAGATATAAATTGAACGTATATTGTAGCTGGTAGTGTAATAATTGGCGTTAAGTGAGCTTTGCGCTGCCAGCGTACGCTATCGTGTTGGTACTGAAACGCTGGTACTCGAAGCGGCTAACAATAAGCACGGCCTGCACAAACGTGAATTAAAGTACGATGCGCACGCACCACGTGGAACCTAAGCACTGGAGGCTTGCGATGCGGGACCGAAACTTATGAGTGCTTTGATACAAACTGACGTATGCACCGAAGTTATCTAAGCTGTCGCCCGGTTGTGTCACATTGATAATGATAAAAAGAGGAGGAACATCGTTCATTCAAAAGATAATGATACAGAAGCCGAGCGAAAGTATGCGGTTCAGTCTCCGCTGTTTCGCCGCAGGTCCCGCTCAACTCGAGCTTAGGATTCTCCCCTGTTTGTACATGTCTTTATGAAAATTTACGTGTATTCTCGAAAGCCAATTTGGCCGAGCATTTGCATTGCATTACACGCGAATGTGCGGGCTATGCATTTCGAACGGGTTTGCGTGGAGAAATTTTTGGGAGCGGTTTCGGCCAGGATTTATGCTTAAACTGGTCGAGCTCGAGTTGCGCCCATCGCTGTTTACGCCGATCCGCTATCAGCAGTCTGATAGGAAATAGGTTTAAAAATTGGATTGTATAACGCTCGGTTACTACATAAAATGTAACACCTAGTTGGTAATCTTCTATTTGCTCTGATGGTTAGAGGGATTTATTGTGTTATTCTTGTCGTTTAGAAAAATAAACGTCATCCACACTTGACATCAATTTTAATTAGATGTACATTACCGATTTACTGAATAAATTTTATCTTATCGCCAACTTGCAAAACGCCTTCTTCGCTCATTACTATTTTTTTTTATTAATCCGATTTTTGAATGTGCTTGTTTTGTCTTAAAATTGATAGATATATTGTATTTTTCGGTAATTAAATATTTGCAGTCTTTAGGCAACCTCTCGGGTAATTAAATAAAATTTAAATAGGTACGATTGCAAAAATACCAATATTTACGAAAACAACATCAGTCGAAGATTTATAGCTTATTTAACTTACAAATAAATTTTCCAGTTACAACCGAATTTTATTCGAACCAGGAAAATAAGCAGCCGAATTTTGAATTTTTTTTTTAATACATCTTACCGTCAGTTGAATCAGAAACAAATGTGTAATTTATTGAGGTTAGCACTTTTCATAGTTTTATTGATTAAATTCCGAAGTAGGTTATAATAAAACGCATATGTATTCGGATCAGTAATGTGTCGAAATAATTACTTATTATATAGGAGAAACAAACTTTGAATATCAATAAATCCGTTGTGAAATTGAAGTAAGCACTGGAATATTGTGGGCTCATTTGCAAAATTTCAACTAAACGGTATTACACACTTACAGGATGATCAGTATTTATATATTTTTGCAATACACCAGTTAACAAAAACCATTTTCTATGCAAATATATGAAGATCTTAAGCATCTATCCATTAACGTAATTACAGTTAAAATTAACATAACAAAAGTACGAATATTACTTACTTGTGTTATACAAAATAAAAATAAAATTTTGTTGCTATACCAAGAAAATAAATGTTACGTCTAACGCAAATTTAATTATATATGTATTGGTAAAACCGAGGTGAGTTACATAAAATGCGCCAATATTAAAAAATATAGGGATTCCCGAGGATTATAAAAATTCAAGGTGCAACCGAGGTATGTCATTTACGGAGAAATTTTGAATTGATTTCTGTTAATTCATTATTTTGTCCCTACATTACTGGAAAAATTCACGCTTCCAACAGGCAGACATTTTACCGATATAACGAAATAATAAAAATTATTGCGAGCTTCCACATACGATAGAGCGGGCGCTTCTATTTGCGGTATTTTTCATTATATGAAATTTATTTTGCCGCGAATTCGGTATTTGCGTTCGGAATGTAATATATCAAAAGGTTTATTAATTTTTCATTCAATAATCGAGAACATAAAATATAAAATAATATCCTGCTTCGGTTCGCTGCAATCGATTCGTTTAGTTAGAGGAAACATTGGTCTCGCGGTGTGAAACAAAATCGATTGGAAACGAATATGTTACACATTGGATTGTTGCGTAATTGTTAATTTTTTTCGAACGTATTTGCGTAGAAGACGCCCATCAACGCACGTTTATGATTTACAAGAGATTAGGATAAATTTACTACATGGTGCAATAAAATTTCGCTGTTACTCTAAACGTATACGAAAACAATGAAAGTAAAACGATTAAAGATTTAATTGCAATTTGAAATAAAAATTCCCATTATTAAGGTAAGGTTCCATTTATCTCTGCCAGGGTATAATCTCTCGGTTATAATAACAGAAATATTCCAATATGCCGGCTAAATCCTCGGAAATTTACTTATAAAACTTATTTACGTACATTTTATTATCAATTGTATTATAAAATCCTGCTCGTAAAAGATGTCGAATCTAAGATTTTCCTTGATTAGAACAGATAATGATATTTTGCAAATCTCTAATGAGTTTATAATCTAAACCAATTACTGGGTTACTTACGTTTTGTCTTTATAAAATGGTACCTAAACGAAATCTTGAAAATAAATTTCAAATAGTCATCATTAGTCGACAAGGAAGTTATTTTGTAATAAATGATAAAAATCGTCTCGATATAAAAAGTATTGGCATTGGCGAATAAAACATAAGCGTGTGTGTGTAGTATGCATTAGATAATATAAGCAATTTTTAGAACTAATTAATTAAAATTAATTAGGGTAGTTGTTAGTTGGTATCCGTATTTTTAGCAGAATAAATACTGTTCATTTGGCGCTGTTTGTCACGAATGAATTGTTCTAATGCTGTTTACATCCTGATTTTCACTGTAGACCAGACAACTGTTATGTGTTTCAAGGTAACAACAATTTGTGGAATTGATCAGAGTAAAAAAGGATGTGATTTCCAGTAAAATTTCTAAAATCGACTTTCGACTATCTCAAAGATAAACAATCCGAATTTCATAATCTTTACGTGGATACTAAGTAGGTAATTATCTAATGATCAAAAATTTACGCAAAATATAATCTTCAAAAGCAAATTTTCGTCATTTGGTTGCTAAAGAATGATAAGATAATGTAGTACAATTGAAAAACGTTTCGCTATCTAATTTGTTTATTGAGAAGAAAGAAGTAGATATAACAGCCGGTCTTCATATAGACAGACACCTACATCACATTCTATTTATTCATATTAATCGCCGATTTAAAAGGATATTGTAGTCTTTGAGTGCTCTAACAAACGTTTATTCCCTACAAAAGTACGGATTTTTCTTTAGAATTTCGAAGTATCAATGTGTTCTTACTGTAGATAAAAAGATCAAAGGATCTTATAATTTCTTTTTACTTGTGTATAAACTACCACCTGTCGTTTGTCGGGCTGAGAAAATGTTTCAAAGCTTTCCACTAAGAATGTTTACCGGATAATCGTATATTCATATCGTTACTAAGTAGTATTTAGTGTTGCATAATAATTGTAAATATCCCATCACATTTTGAAATACGTAATACGGTAGTAGAAGCGATTTTTAGCGAAATATTCTGTACACACATCTCCATCGAAATTCGTCCTTTAATTTTGTCAATAAACCATAAAACCAGAAAATATTGTTACATATTTTATATTCCGGAATATTTATGAAGAAGTAGTAAATCAAATGCACGTACCAGTCTAAATTTTTTTTATATTTTATGTAGGTTACGCCTTATCTTAGACAAGTAATTATAGATTATAAAACTTAATTGAACCATTTAGAATAGGGAATTTTTTCTCGAAGTGCAGACAACATTCTCATTAATAAAAAACAGTACTACTCGGTATTGGTAATTAATGAACTTTGGATGGTGCTTGAGAATTTGAGCTGTAAAGAGAATAGAAAAACAAATTCGAGTACCGGAGGTATGCAAAAACACCTTGAACAGTGGCGTGTCTAAATTTAAACTTTCAAATTTTCAATTTCCTTGGCCGCGGTAACTGACGAGAACTCGGACCTCTCGTTATCGAATAAATAGCGATTCTGTTCGCATTTAGACCAACGAAAGATCGTGGGCGTCGATGAGCTATTTATAAAAATCGAAATGTGCAAAATCCACCCGGTACAAGCGAGCACTTTCGACGAAACTGACTGCCCGTCCCATCCTTGTGCCATATAAGCACTGTTAATATTTAATCAATCACTTAAATCAGAAATATATGCAGAGTCGTCATAAATTTTCAATAAAAATTATCAACTTTACACGTAATTTGCTAACGAGCGTAATTGAAACTATCCACATATGATATAAAATCGTTTAGTATCAGAAACGCGTTCGATCAGATATACAGATGTCATCGATGATTGATGATGGAAAAATATTTACCTCCGATGTACAACTGGTGGCCCCCGAGCTCAGAGTGGGCGACAGCACGGGCACGTCGTAGCTCTGCGCGACCTTCCCCTGCGAGTAGTACCCCTGCGAACCGGAAACGTTCGCGGTACCGCCGTTGTACTGGCCGGTTCCGGTACCGCTAGGCGGGGCACTTTGAGTCTGAGTCTGAGTCAACCGGTGCTCCGCACCAGCCGCTTGAAACGACTCGCTCAGGTACTGTTTCACTTGGTCCTTCTGCTTCTGCATGACGTGGTACCGCGTCGGGTTCGCCAGCTTGGTTTGCACCTGCAGCACCTGCGGCGGCACCTCGGCCAGGCTGTTCAGCGGTACTTTTATAGGATTTTGGGCCGGATTCGGCGCCGGTATTTGCTGCGCGTGAGGCGGCGGCCGCTGCGTCTTCTCCTGGTTCTTCTTCTGTTGCTCGTAGATAGCTTGGTCCCTCATCAGTTGCAGTTTCAGTTGGGTGCGCGACGCCGGGTTGATCGTCTTCAAGTTCGGCGTGCTAAAATCGAAAATTTTTGCTTAAAAATCACATAACACAATCCTTTGATTGTTTGGAATATAGCAGATGGAGTAGAAGGGGAAAACAGACAAGGATAGCTACATAACTCGCGTTAAATATTAACGCTATTCGAATCTATTGCATTTAAAAAAAAACGTAAAAATACTTAATAAATTTGAGGTCTCACAACCTCAAAAGTGCGTATCCAACTCGATCGAAAGTCGTACTCACACAAGCAAGGCGATTTCACTTTATTAAGGTTAATTTCATGACTCTATCACATGTTTTGTTGCCACTGATTGTTGATTATGCCACTGGTTAAAGCAATAATAAAATGCGTGACGTCTGTTAAATTTAAAATGTACATTGAGCGTTGCGAATTGTGGCGTTCGGTTTTTTTTTCTTGAAGAAAGGCTTTCGTTGGGAATTTCGTTTAATTGTTTTGCGTAATTTCGCAAGGTGAATTTATTGAATCGTTATTTCGCAGCAAAGATTTTTTGGATCTAATCCAATCGACGGCATTTTTATTTCGGAAACTGTAAATATTTCCTGCTACCTACTAAAAGAAGTGCGATATAACGTTGAAATAAAATTCGTATATTAATTACATGTATATTAATTAAATGGGAATTACCTCTATCTGATATGGTAACACGCCTGGCGCTTATACCGGGTGTCCCAAAACTAAATTCGAAATTTGTCGGGAACACTGTTAATTAAAGTTGTTAGTTAAGTTTTATGAAAATAAACGATAGCGAAATTGATGTTTCTCGCACGGCAACCTAATTTTATTTTTACATCAGTTGTTTCTAAGAAGTGAGGCATTTGCACACCTTGGCCTACAAGTTTTCACAATCCCTCAACCATTGAACTTGTACTTTCATTGCTTATTTACAACCAAATGGATCTGCAATTAAAAAAATGCATGCGTTTCGGGATCACCGATTAACCGGAAAATACCGGTTCCCGCGATTTTTCTGCAAATAGACAATTTGACTTTGATCGATTGCTAAATTTTTTAAGCTACATTTACTCCGACGTGATAAGGTTAATTTTTTAATCCATAAAGAGTGTTTGTTTAACAGGCTTTATTTATAGCCCGACTAAAAACAAATTTCCATTCGAAAATGCCGGCACATTCGCCAAACCGAGTTGAAATTTTATTAAAACCGATCGGCGTCGATTAGGTTCGAAACGAGCGCGATTTGCACGTGTATGTCACATTAAAACAACTTTCCGGGCTTTTTTTGCGATTTGGAAAACGGCGCTTTGTAATCGAGCCGGTTTAATTCCATTTTTCGAATGTTCCTGTCACATCTCACACGCGGGAACCCATTTAAACTTGCCCGTAACTACGCAGAAACCCGTAATGAGCGTCTCACGCACGGTTGGCAAGGCGGAAAATTTCCCTTGTACGCATTAAAAGTTTTCGCTAACTACGTTGTTGGTACTTTTCCCGGCGAAGGAAAAGTGTTATTTATTAATTTTTATATTTTTTTGAACGGTTTGTTGAGCCTTTTAGAAGGAAATTTTACGCCTATTTTTTTAAGTGTTTTAATGATTTATTATACGATTTTTTCTGTCATTATAAGAGGATTTCAAGAAGAGTAAAAGTAATCTCCAACTGAGCATTAAATACAAAAAAGCTCCATGTAAACAAGTAGTGTTAAAGTGGATTTTGGAAACTTAAATAATTATTTAAATTTCTTAACTAATTCATTGATGACTTAAGTATGATTTTCTGGTCGATTAATCGAGTTTAAATATGATTATTGAAGTCGCGCTAAAGCAGTAAACGAAAATATATTTATTGTTAGTTAAACGGTTAAATTTGGCAATACGTCAAAATTTACAAGATTTAAAAGGCTATCTAAAAATAGTTGTATTTAAATAAAAAGTGTGCACGCATTGGAATTATTTTCTTACCTACGATGGGAAAAAATGTTAGTAAAATTGTGAAATTTGAAATCTGAGATTAATCGTGATTTGAATTGCGATTCGATATGAATTTTTTTAAATAGCTCGAACGTCTGAAATGACTCGAAGGTTTTGTAAGTACTATACGATATTAAAAACATCGGTTAAATATTAATTGTTTTAATATACATACAACTTTATTATCACTCGATTATTAGTTAATACAAATTTACATTTACGTCGATACTTTCGAATGTATTAAGTAATAAATTTTGTTGTTAGTGGAAGTATAAGAAATCGGCTAGACCAAAGTTGATTATTCAACAATTTCTAGCTCACCTTTCTAAAACGGGCATAGTTTTAGATGTCAGTTCGTAAAACTCTTGATTTTTCGGCGTCCCTAAGAGATCATCGAAATCTATAGCACTCTCGATATCAAAGTCCTCCGAGAGCAGAGCAGAGAGATCATATCCAATGTCGATGCCGGATTCTGCCATGCTTCCCTCGATACGTTATCACAGTATTCTCACAGCTTCGAGTGTTCGAATCGTCGAAAAGAAAATGAAAGGCTTTGACATTGGCCCGTTACGCGGCCATAATCGAGCGTTTTTGAGCGATTTTTCCGACGTTCGAGCGGCGCAATGTCAGGGCCGGGCGTCCAGTCGAAGTTGCGCCGGGAGCCGAAAAGTTCGCACTTGGAAAGCCGTCGAAAATAGCGCAAACTGCGCGAAGCAGGAAAACCGAAAATTCACTCGACGACTAGAGATCGCGATGCTCGACGGACGGATTCATCTCGAAATTCGCGACCGACTGAACTGCGCGCCGCCGGTATCTTCAAAATCTTGGCATTATTTTCAATTATTATTTCCTTTGAAAATTTCCACCTTAGTGCTTTGCCCAAAGCGAACGGGCCCACGGCGACTCACTTGCGACCGGTCAAGTCGAAATTCGGAAAATATCGCGCCTGATTTTGCGATTTTTCGACAATTTTTTACTACGGAACAAATCGGTTGTAATACACAAAACAAACAGTACGAATGTTTTATCATGTCATTCGACGTTATTTTCAGCGAGAAAACGTTTAATCCAATATTTGTTCACGCAGAGCGTTAATTTCTGTGTGTTTTATAATTATGTGTAATTTTTAATAATCCATTTCATCAAAGCCCTACATTTTTTTAACACAAACTCCTAAAATATTTTGTAAGAATTGTTTACCCATTATACAGATGCTTCAATCAATCATAAGTATGTGTTATAAAATACCTAAATTAATTCCTTTGATTGATTAATTTCATTTAGTAAGTACCGATTCTTCAATTTTATACACCAACATCCTTTTTAGATATTTATCTGCTTTTTAGAATTTTATCGAATTATCGCTACCCACTATCATCAACTCAAATAAAACTTACGAATGAACACAATAATTTGTTTTTATTAGATTTCAAACTTTTACTTAACCTTCGGCGCCTTTCTCCCTCGCTTCGCAAGCTCGATACCTAAATTCCTAACCCAAAACTTTTCTTCTAATAACTCATGAATTATTCCAATTACTCTAAATAATTTTCGAAGTAAAAAATGCACAAATATGTAATTTATTTTACCTGAAATGCAGAACTTTATAAATGATTATTAAGTATCTAAAGTACATTGTAAGATATCTTTGGGTATTCCGGAATTTGTTACACTTTTTCTACGTGCATATCGACTATATACGATTAAATTCGTCGAGCAAACAAATTGCACAACGAAAAATTACATCCATCAGCAGAACCGATATATGTTTTTATTAATGCTGCTAATGCCCAATACTAATACCAAGCAGTTTGATTAACATTTTTACAAAATTAACATGAATTATTTGCTAAATTTAACGTTGTTTGTTCTGTCCATTAAATGTTGTCTTTCATATTTCGATTACGACGATTTTCAAAGTTACATGGTGGGAAGTGATTTGGACAAGGACTGGGACGACTTTAAGGTAAAACTTTAAACACAGCATTGAACACAACTAACCTTCTTTTCGCATGTCCAAGAGGAAATTTAACAAAACCTACTCCAACTACAACGAATTCGTGAGGCGGAAATCCTGGGAAGAGAACATGAACAAAATCAAAAAGCACAACGAGGAAGCGCTAAAAGGGAAACATTCCTACTTTTTGAAAGACAACCATTTATCAGATATGGTCAGTACCTGCTACAGATATTAAACGAAGGATTTCCACGGGTCCGTTTCATTTCAGTCCAACTACCAGTACTTGCGGAAAATGGTGAAGCTCACCTCGAGCAGGCACCGGAAAATCGACGCCGAAAGGGTCGGCGACATCTACGAAAGGCTGCTGCACATTCCCGAATCCATCAACTGGGTGGAGAAGGGCTTCAAAACGCCCTATTACAACCAGAGGGACTGCGGCTCCTGCTACGCCTTCAGCATCGCCGGCGCCATTCAGGCTCAGATATTCAAGCAAACGGACAGATTGGTGCCGTTGAGGTAAGGAAACCCGCACCGGAATTGCGAATATGCGAATTAACAATCGTGTTTTCCAGCGAACAACAAATCGTCGATTGCAGCCTGCCGTACGGAAACTACGGCTGTGCCGGGGGATCCCTCAGAAACACTCTCAAGTATTTGGAAAAAGTCGGAGGGTTGATGGCTTATAGTGACTACCCTTATAAATCTAAAGCAAGTATTAACATCGTTTGATTGTTGAATTTGTGAGTTTCAACTAATGTAGGCAACACTTTTTACACCTTAAGTATGGTTAAAAACCGAGTTTATAGGCTTACTCCAGGATATTAAAACTCATAGAAAGGCTTTATTTGAGCAAAGTGGAGCTAGTCTGTGGTACTTCTAGCTGCAATAAAATTGTGTTTTGCAGAAACAAAAATGCTCATTCGACAAGCACAAAGCCCTAGTGAATCTAACGAGTTGGGCGGTGCTGCCAGCGCGCGATGAAAGAGCCCTAGAAGTCGCCGTCGCGAAAATAGGACCGGTCGCGGTGTCCATCAACGCCAGTCCGGATACATTCCAGCTCTACCAGTAAGTACCTTTCCCGTCACTCCCATCGAAATAGGTTTTGGAAACCCGGTTTTTGGGCCGTTGCTCAGTCGAGTTGTGTTTTAGTACCGGAGTCTACGACGACCCAGCTTGTTCCTCTGACCACGTGAATCACGCGGTGCTCGTCGTGGGGTACACGAAGGACGCTTGGATAATCAAAAATTGGTGGGGTAAGCATTGGGGCGACAACGGCTATATGAAACTCAAAAGGCGCAAAAACCGATGCGGGATATCTAATTACGCAGCGTACGCTTTGATTTAGTGTAAGGAGTGTTGCATACTTTCAAGGTTTACGACACGCGCCATGTTCGAATTGTGTACTAAAAATAAAACAATAAAAGACGGGATTATTTTTATTATTTATTTGAGATGACATTCAACAGTATATGAACAGTTTATTACAAATTTAAAAAATACTATATAATGAAACTTCTAATATTCATGCATATTAACATACGATATTCATGCATTCACACATTCGAACAACAAGTACTTCTTCACTGTATCCAAAAAAACTAAATGCGACATTTTGATATCGATTAATTTAGACGCATCGTTTGCAATAAGAATGATTTCGACAAAATTTACCCAGAAGTTTTACAATGACGATGGCACAAATTTATCTAATAATAAATATCAAAATGTTATATTAAAATGGGTTTAGAAAGTTTTAATTCTAATGTATGCATGTTAATGTAAATCACATTTAAACAATCGAAATGGTACATGAATGGACAAAAAATTATACTAGGCCTATCAATAATTTCATTAAACGTATTTGAAATTTGTAATTTTTTTTGTGTTTTTTTCTTTAGTGGCTCATTGCGCAAATCCGATAAACATCAAATATTTGAACTATCTTAATTGCACATTTCAATACACGGATGCATTAAAGTTCAAAAGCCTTTATTTGTATCATCATTCATACATACTAACTTCATTTTCATACGAATACATGAGAAGAAAAATCACATGATCAATCTATTTTACGAACAGAACGATCAACTGATTACATTCTACAAGAAGATGTAAACACCTTTAATGAAGCAAATGAATAAACTCAGAATTACAATAGCCACAATATAAAAAACTACGTTACACCGTTGTGCCTTATTTTATAAAAAGAAATACTGGATTTTTACCAAAATGAAAATAGTAAATATTTTTTAAAATTAAAAATAAATTACTACTTATGATTTTACCAATCGAATAAATACCTTCTTTATGAAAGAAATATTGACAATTCATTGGTTACTAGTTTTATGAAAATTTTAGGCCTTTACACCACAAAAACTGCTGATTAAAACATCAGAATATATGTTTCACATTTTTAGCAAATCGAAATGACAGTTAAAAAAGATTTCTAGTAAAAAAAAATTAAGGACTGTTGAATCATCAATTGCTCTTTTAAAATTCCAATACACATAATACATCGATTATAGAGGCATTAAAAAAATTGTAAAAACATTCTAGATACGTAACTATTAGGATTTCTAAAAAAAAACAACTTGATTTTAAATTCCGCAACGGAAACTCCAAAAAATTGAAATGATTGATTTTTCCCAATAGAAACATCGCCAAACATGCCGTAATGTTTGTTGATTCTTACCGCTAAACAAAAATATCCAGATCTAAACTCTTGTTATTGACGAATAAAGAAAACAGCAAACATTACGATGCCTTCAACAATACGATACACCCAAGGATTCAAACTTAAGTAAATGAAGATTGTTCAAAGCAAGGAAGAATTAATTATAATTCGACAATAAATGTCCTAAGATTGTCCAAAATTTAAAGAGTTTGAAACGTTTACTTAAAAATCCTGGTTAATCGTTCGTTTTTTTGGCGATTTGATAACAAAAATTCGAAACTTTGTTTCTCACAGTCATAAAAATCCAAAAGGTGTTTAATTTTTCTCTGTTAAATCAGAAATTTAATTCGAAAGAATTAAACACTATGGGTGTTTAGAGACAGTGGATTTACAAAACTCAAGAGATTCTGCTTATTTTCATAATTATTTTTTTAATATCATTTAATCTCATTTTAATATCTTTTAATTGGAATTTTAGAAAATAAATATAAAAGAAAAATCATAATTCGATATAAAAGTAAATATGGCACAATTAATGAAATTAATTATTTACTTCTAATTAAAAAAAAAGACTGATTGACGTGAAAGCTGATTTATACAACTGATGTAAAATATCTGGTACAAAAATGACGGAAATTAAAAAATAATTTTAAATAAAAAATAAATATATAATTTCAAGTGTATAACTTTTTTTGTTTAAATTAAGAAATTATTTGTATACATAATATATAAATATATATAAAATTTGTATTTATTCTATCTAGAATGCTTTTCTTTTATAAAAAAATAAGCAAATAAAATACCAGGTAAATATTCTGCAGTGTATATCACCGCATATATAAATTGAAATTTTCACCTAGCAAGGTTACTGAATTTAAAATTCCAGTTTTTTTATCGCACATTAAAGTCGGTAACCAAACTAAATGGAAATATCCTATATACTTTTATTGACTCGATTATTAGTACAAGATCACTAGAAATAACGAGACTTCAGCTACAAACAATCACAGCATGGACAATTTACATGCATTATGTTTTGTTTCCCTACAATTAAAACGGAGTTAAATACTGATTTAATTCCCTTCCAATCCAACAAATTCCAAGACAAATTTTAGTACTCTACAAGTAAGTCTAGCGGTACTAAAGTGAATTGTGTTGGAAGGAAATCCGATTCATCATTTATGGACAAAAATTTTGGTAAAATGAGAGCATTTGCCAAGCTGTCGCTGAACGTCTCAAAATGGTCACTGGAATATTAACAAGCATTCCACACAATTTGTTTTATCGCTTTGGCAGATACAATTTTGTTTTTCCACACCTCCCGACGCATATCCCACCAAAACTCTAAGTACATGTGAAACTCATCTTTAGTACACTATCACAGTCATTTTAACCTGGTGTCGAAGCAAAACAGTTCATTCAATCGTAAACCAGTCATGTAAATATAAATTTTATGTATATATAATATATAATACATAGTTTAATAAAAATTTGTTAAAATCGTTTTTTGTTTGTTTCTTCATAATTATCACCATCACAATATTTTAATATGGGAATAAAAAAAGTCACAGCAGCTTTATATTATCACAAAACTCGCATCTTAAGAAACGTAAATAGAATTTTCTCGTTCGTGGAGGCAATTTTCATTGTACGCCCGAATCGGATAGGCCAAGACCGTGTTCAGAAGGTCGTTGTGGATCTCCAACGAATTCGTGGCGTAGTGCAGCACCAAATCTTTCAGCGTCGGATAGATGTTGTAGGGTTCGGTGAAGCCGAGACCCTTGCCCGTTTCGTTGATGATGCAATGATTGGTGCTGCCGTTGCACACGACGGACAGCGCGTACTTGTTCATTTGCCTGGACTTCCTCACCAGGAACGTGCCGTCCGGCTTGCCGTCGAGCAGCCGTTCGGCCTCGGTGCGCGAGCAATTCAACAACAGCCAGGTGTGCTCGTCGTTGTGCGGCAACGTGTCCGTGTCGATTTCGCACTCCTCGGACGTTTCCTCTCTGTTGCGGTTGAGGATTTGGTTGATCTTCGCCACCGAGAAACCCCGCTGTTGGAGCCACCTGATGTGCTTGTCCCGTTCCCTGACCAAATTGTGTATTTGCGGCTTCAGGCTGGTCAGTTCGCGCTCCAGCGCTTTCTTGTACGCCTCCTTCTGCTTCAGTATCTCCTCGAGTTGCTCGCAGCTTTCGGTCATCAAATCCAACCGTTTCTTTAATAATTCGGAATTAATTTCTAAGTTTTTGATTTCGTGAGGCTGGGCCTCGCTTTGGAATTTTTCTTGGATCGTAGTCTGATCCCTGAATACTTGTACTAATTCTTTGAGTGCATCGAGGGCATGTCTTTTGGTTTGTACTTCGGTTGACGTTTCATTGAAATCCTTCGAAACCGTCTCGGACACCTTGTTCTTCTCGGCCAAATTCTTGTTAACAGTCACGAGCTTCTCCACCAGCTTCTCGATCTTCTCGTTTTTGGCCAGCTCCTCCTCCTGGTTGTTCCTCGACACGGGATAGAGCAACTTGATGTCCAAAGAGGCGTTGTACTGAGAGAGTGAGTCGTTCCGAAAGTGATTGATCAGATCCACGACGGATGGGAAAGTGTAAGGTTCCGTGAAGCCGTACATGCCGTTCCTGTGGCAGATTTTTATCAACTTGTTCGCGCCGCCTTTCCTCAACGTCAGAGTGTATTCGCCGCATTTGCTCGAAGCGTCCCGCACCAAAAACGTCCCGTCCACCGTGTCGTTCAACACCTCGTTGACTTCCTCGCGCTTGATGTCGCCCCAATACCACTCGGCGTCCTGGAGGCTCGTCGCCGCGGCGCTCTTGTCCTTGTTGCCTTCCAGCATGCTGTAGTAGGCGCTGCTGCCCATTCGAGACACCTTCCTCGGCGGAATCGCCGGCGCGGAGGCGAACTCCGGCAATTTTTCACCCCAATCGCAATAGAGCAACAACAGCTCCACGATGCGATTGTGTGCCTGCGTATTGTAGACGACTTGTCTGAAGGAGAAATGAAAACATTTAATTAGTTACTGAAATTTTCTGATTAGTCTAGTTCGTTTTATAAAACTGGCGTTTCCAACGCATTCGAGATCGTTATCTTATCTTTCGCACACTTGTGTGATTTATATGTGGCAATTCAATTGCTGCGATATTGTACCTATTTGGTTTTTTTTAGATAAAAAAATAAACTCAATTGGTTCAATATAAAAATTTAAGTATTTTTTTTTGTCTACCTAGTGCATAAATCTCCAGACAACACTTATTAGATTGGATTAATGATTTATTAAATGCATGTCTTTAAAAGTTTCAAGGTTTCAAAGTGAACGTAACGAATACTTTAATTAATGCCAAAAAAACACAAAATGCGGAATATCAAAGTTAATAACCAATTGAATATGTTGAAAGTCCAGTTCAATTTATCGCCAACCGACTGCATAACTAAATCAATAAATTCATTCTAATACACGTGTAAAAAAAACGCTACAAGAACAAGTATACTCACATAATTCGTTCCCAAGGAGGCCGCAGGAAAATGTGACACATGACTTGTATCAGTACAGTCGGCGGGCTCTTATTGCCCCTGGCGTACTCCAATTGGCAAATCCTGCAAAGATGTCCCATAATGAATCTCAAAGTGGACTTGTGGTGATCCGGCAGCTCTTCCACCAATTGCCTCAGTATGGTAGTGCACTCTTCGTCGTTCCTCTTCTTCGACGCCTCCAGGAACTTATCGTACCATTGTACCGGAATAAGCGGATCCGGCAGTTCTCGCAGGTACTTCTTGAACACGCTGGCTATGCACACGGGACTGAATTCGGAGAGGTTGATGCCGTTCGGATTCTCCTCGATCTTCTTGACGAGGAACTGCAGCTGGTCGGAGGGCGGCGTGGCGCAGTAGAGGTTGTACAGCTCGAGCGCGTCGTTGCCCTTGGCCCGCTTCTCGAGCTCGGCGGCGCAGTTGATGAGCAGCTCCGGCGCCGGGCTGTCGCTGAGCTTGAAGTGGCAGCACAGCCCCTGGCCGAAGAACGACTTGAACTGAATGAATTGCGATCGCTCATCCATTGGACGGTGCGTGCACGACGGGAGGCCGGTGACGGCGCACGTGCGATGGGCCACCAGGCCGCAGTTTTGGCAGAGGAAACCCTGGTGGAGCAGGCCCCGCAGGTATTTGTTGCATTTGTCGCAGCGCTCCAGCGTGCTGAAGCTGTGGCTGGCTAGATTGTGGAAGAAATTCTTGCCGGACGCGTCCACATCTTCTTGCTCGGTCCTGAAGCCGGGGTTTTCTTCCGATTTGTTCAGGAGCTCGTCGATGCACGTTAGGATCGCTTTTTGGTGGAATTCATCCTTTATGCCCATAGCCTAAAATACAAAAGTTTATGTATTTGGTTCGTCTACAGTAATTCATTCGAAACTTCGAATATAAAAAAACTAAATGACAGCTGTCAATGTCAATTTAAGCGATGTGTAAAAAAATCTCTAATAAATCATAGTAGGTTGTCCTATGAAAGAAAGTTTAACAGAAATAACATTCATGACAAATGACAATTTTGAAAATTTTGAAAATTTTACACAATTTAGTACAAATAAACTTATATTGTTTCAAAAATACCTCACAATATTTTCATTTATTGTCGAAAACGAGCAATTGTCATTTTTTTTCTATTGAAAAATACTTTCAATATAAAAAACTGAATAACATCTGTCAATGTCAATTTAATCGACGCGTAAAAAAATCTCTAATAAATCATAGTAGGTTGTCCTATGAAAGAAAGTTTTTAACAGAAATGACATTCATGACAATGAAAGTTTTGAAAATATATAAAATTTTACACAATTTAGTTCAAATAAACTTATATTGTTTCAAAAATACCTCACAATATTTTCATTTATTCTCGAAAATGAACAATTGTCATTTCTTTCAATTGCGATACCTTTCAAAGCACCAGCCTACTGTGATCCGAGGACCCCAAATCGGTAGCTATAGCAACCCCCGTGTTCTAATCAAATTCGTACATAGGTTCATCTATTCATAACCGAACGCCATTATAAAATGAGAAGCAAAACTATAATTAACCCATTATGAAGTGTACGGATACTTACCACTAATTTATCGCGGTCGAGATTTATTAAATCTGAACCTTTGATATCCTTGCATCTGAAGACGTCGGAATATGTGTATAGATTAAGAGCCGCCATCCATTCTATGACATTCGAACAAGTCCACTCGGAAATTGGCTGAAACAAGAATAGAGAGCGATTAAAAAAAACCCATTGTATCGTTTAGCATACGACGTTTAGTAATAAAAGAACCCATCCACATAGGGCAATGTTTATGATGTAATAAAAACGGCTCAATTAATTTGAACAAATCGCTAGTTATAAATAATTCATGTAAGTGTTTAATAAAGACCTTAATTAGATTTTTCAATGTCTAACAATCCAGTATATTACGGTGCCACATTCATAGCATTTATCTAACGATTGTAGTGTTTAGTTTATAACATCATTTATAAAAAGGATTGCTAATTAAAATAAAATTAACGTTTGTTATTACTTATAATTGCATAGGAATTGATTGTGTTGTGGAAATTTAAGAATCGAATGATTTTTTTTTTTTGGAAAATTTGAGTTGAACAAAGCCAAAATATACCGTTACGATACTGTACTAACCAGATATTACTCGGTCCGGTTATATTTCGGCAAATACGGACTAAACTATGTTCTATGTTCATTCCCGTATATCTAGCAGCATTTCTATTAAAACATTGTTGCCAGCCCACACGAAAGTGGGTCACACACAAGTAACCAGATTCAAGAAAGCACAATTCGATTTCTAAAAATACAACCAACGGTAAAAGACATATAAAACTCCTTTAACGAGAAATTTATTAAATTCGCATTACACACCAACAATTCCCAAATAATTAAGCCGGGCGACAAAAGCGGCCCAAGTTACAATCGCGAAAAGGAAAATACACACCAGAGCCAGAGTGGAGCAAAATAATCTGTTTATCCTCTGACGTTCTAAAAGTTTCAGTAACGTGAGCTTTAAATGGAAGAACAAAAAGAAAAGAGTACAAAAAGCATTTTTCCGACGCCTATTGATAACTGATGAGTCCTGACAACATCGTACAAAGTAACGAGCGAAAGAAAAGGATCGCGTAACGAAAAAAGAGATAGGAAGACGGTTATACGACCGCATAGCAACGTGCAGGGCCTACCATTGGAGGACAAACCACCTATCGACACAGCAGTACAGAATCGAGTGTCTACTGAGAAATAATGAACATGAAGTTAGTATAATATAGTACGTTACAAAATCACAAAATAAAAAATATACCATCCACCGCATTACATTTAATTCTCCAGCATTTTTTTTTTCTCGAAAACAATCCACTGCCCTTGGGGCGTTTTGTTTTGAGGTTTTTATAGAAAGCAAAAAACTTCATTATACTCCGAACAAAAAAAAAAGTTGATTTTCTTGTTTTCTTTTACCATTTATTCGAATACATTGATGATTTATGCAATATAATAAGAATTTCGAATAGCCGGAAGTCATTCTTTTGTCTTTCGTAAAATTGGGCTCGGGAAGAAAAAATAATGTAATTTTCAAACTTCGGATTTGCTTATTACCTTATCGCATAAAAATCCCCAAGGAGACAAACGAAACCGAACTTTTTTTTTAAAACAAACCGAAACCACCACTTTCGACTCGAACGCAACACAACTAAAATACATTTACCAGATGTAAGATATTAAATATGCCAACGACAAAGCGATTTTTGCTTAGCAAAGCAACAAAATTACTCCGACTTATTTACTCCAATCGATTATAGTTACAATTTATTGTAATCTTGAAAACGCTTTATGAAACGATTTTTCCACGTTCCGCGACAGAAAGGCGAGTGGAAAAGAATTACGCCGGTAATATTTCAAGTTCGTTCAAATCGCATTTCGAATTTTCCAAGCTAATTTGACTAATTCTTCTTTTCGCAACGACATTTTAATTGATTTTATTTCGATATCGAAATAGCCGATTTGCACTGATTATTTTATACTGCCGCCATTAAAAACACGCGTGCTTAAAAATGTATTACAAATAAATGAAGTTAACGCCTATATGTTAATCGTTTTCGCTTTATTTCTAATTCCTAATTAATACAGCCTAAACGTGAATAAAAATCGGAGGAATTTTCCTGAATTAATAAATTCTATTTTAACAAACCGATCCTGTTCGATTCATAAAACAATTGCGCAATCAAATATTTAGATACAAAAAATTAAAGTACCTACTCGTTATAAAAAATCCCTTTAATTTAAACCACAATAAAATTTCAAATAGGAAATAATTAACAAATGTCAACGAACATATTTGAAAGCCTTAAAATAGAATTAAATGAATGATTTAACTAGATAATAATGACTTACAATGATATTCAATTTGAACACATAATTTTATGCTTCAAAAATGGTAGTTACACACTTACGTAACCGATTTTAACTCTAGCAGTAGCTGCTGAATGAAAAAAATGTACAGGATGATCGAGAGAACTCGGTCCAGTAGGTAATAGTTTATTAGTATCGATGCCGTTATAGCGAGATGAAAACGTAATTGCAACAGCTTGTGAAAAATATCACTTAATTAGTTCTTGTAAACGAAAATTTATTCAAATGCGGCTAGTCAATTAAAAATTTTATTACTCTAATTTGACATAAATGATAATCGTGATACAACCTCAATTTCATAAATTGTATACTATATAAACGTATTTACCTGCTTTATTCATGAAATAATATAGAGAAAACGGAACTGTTTTTATACATTCGTACTTACATTGCATTAAGAGTTACGTTTATTTACTAGAAAATCGTAATTTTATGCGGGGTAAGAATTTATTACCATTCAACATTCATCGCAATAATTATATCACTGACGAAGTTTTCAATGTTTTCGAATGATTAACACATAGAAAAAAAATCAGTATGACAGAGTTTTGCAACAAAATAAAATATCCGGATATCCGGTTACAAGTACCTACTTGTTTAAAATTGTTTTGCGTTTGATAACCAGCTGCAAAAATTCATCAAGCAACCCTACTTTTGTAATTCCACACATGCATTGCTACCCTAACTCTACATTCCGTTATTCCGTATTTGTCGTTCTTTTTAATTCAACGCGTATTCCAATAATGGGGTGAATGTTTTACCGGCCATTGAAATGAAACAAGTCGGCTTGTTACGGGCATACGAGCGGAATATGTTGCGATATCGATAATAATAAGTAAAAGAAAATAAATAAGGGTCTAAGATATTGTTGTACAACCTGTTATACTATAGAAGTTGTTTTGGCTTTAAACATACAAAGTACTTACAAGTTTGTAGAACTAACTAACATGTTCCAATAATGATCAATTAATAATATACATCAAACACATCTAGTCACTCAGGTTTCAAAATTGAATGGAAGTAAGTACCTCGATAATAAATTAACATTGACATTTTTGAAAGCTGCCGTTACATAATACACGAATTTAAATAATAGATGATTTTTTTATGCTAATGAATAAAAATAATCTCTACTTTTGAAATATTTAATCAGGGAAAATTAAATCACACTTTTGTAATTATGTTCTAGCGATAATTGTTACTAAGGATTCAAATTTAATCTTATTAGAACGGTCGCTTCCATTTTAGTCAAAAAGTAATCTACAAATTTCGCTTAGTAAGATAACAATACAATTAGTTATGGAAAAAGTGAAATAATAAACGTGCATGCATAATGTAATAAGTTCGTCTCTACAAGATAAATGTGCAAAACTAAGGAAATAAATCACCCGAGTTATTAGTCCAGATTCCAGAAACCTTTCTAACATATTATTCGTATGAATTTAAACGAGTCCGTTTTTTTGTTTCATTTTATTGGTTTCACGCAACCTTATTTCCAAGGAAACCTCTTTTATATTTATGCCCGAGATTTATTCTCAACACATCGTGAGTTCACTTCGAGAGGCATTAAGAGTTATAAAAGATGTGCCTTATTCTTTTTTTTTTAAGAACGTACACACCTGGGCAAAGACTGAATGAATAAATTGATTGCAACTCGCATCGGCCGACCATAAAAAATACTTTTTTATTTTCAAATTTAAATTCCGAACTGATTGTTTTCAGGCGATGCTTGTGCAGAATATTTGTAATAAAGTAGTTCTTAATTATTTTCATTTAGGTAAATAATGGATGTGAATTGTGTTTTATTAAATGATCATTTCTCATCCCGTTGATCTAACTCGCTATAAATATTAATACAAAAACAATGAACTTTGTATTCTACTGGATAAAAAAACCGAGAATAATAATGCATTAATTTGTTCGTTAGGACATTTCGAAATAAATCTTCGTGTTCCGTTCCACCTAGTTAGAAATTCTAAATTCCACATTATTCAAAGCCGTAAGGGTCCTGACAGAACTGTTTATGAGTGGTGTTGTTCGAATAATAGAAGAGTGAAAATTTTAAAGGTATTTAGCTCTGTCTCACATTTAAAAGCTTTTGTCGTATCCCTTCTAGCTTCTATTCACGAACCCTTTGCACGTTTACTACATTCTAGTACCCACTATAGGCAGCGAGAGCTTTCAAAAAAAATGATTAGAAATGAAATTTAATCGTACGTGCATTCCCATCGAATATGTTGGAAGATTTATCAATAAATGAGAAAAAATACGTTAAAAATTAACGGTTATTTGTATAACATTTATTCTAACAAATTCATTTGCAACGGCAATTCAATTATTATATGTGACTCGAAAGGCGATAAAAGAAAAATTAATTAAATATTGTATTTTTAATCGAACTTCTCTAGGTGATAGTATAAGTACCTAATAGAGATAGTATGTAAATTAAAACAATTTTTCAAATGGCCCTCGTATCGGCGTTCTCCCGAGTAAAAAATCTTTTTCAACGCACAACAATACGTAGTAAAATTATAATTGAATGCAAAATAAAATTTATTATAAAAATGTAGTGGTTATAATTGGAGAATAGTCGATGCAATTACAAATATTGTTGTGAAAATAAAAATAAAAGTAGAATAGTTAGTTGGTGAGTCATGCCTCATGTCTGAAGCAGAAAATTAAAAAGTTGAAACGTAAAAAATATACAATATGGAGGAATGTTTTGGGTAGGTGGATGAATAAATTGATTTCGCACATAATCCGATAAGCCAACTTTCAAAAATTTATAA